ATTCTGTACAGAGAGGAAGGGAGAGAGACAGAGAGCTAGAAACATCGATGAGAGAGAGTCATTGATCAGCTGCCTCTTGCACACCCTCCACTGGGGATATGACCGCAACCAAGGTACATGCCCTTGACCGGAATCAAACCCGGGACCTTTCAGTACCCAAGCCGACGCTCTGTCCATTGAGCCAAACCGGTCCCGGCTCCTTTTTTTTTTTTTTTTTTTTTTAAATATATTTTATTGATTTTTAACAGAGAGGAAGAGAGAGAGATAGAGAGCTAGAAACATGAGAGAGAAATATTGGCCAGCTGCCTCTTGCACACCCCCTATCGGGGATGTGCCCGCAACCAATGTACATGCCCTTGACTGGAGTCGAACCTGGGACCTTTCAGTCCGCAGACTGACGCTCTACCACTGAGCCAAACCGGCTTCGGCTGGACTCCTTCTTAATCATCTATGTGCAGCCCCTTTCTCCAGAATGCTGAACCCTTTGTAAGGCTGGGAAAAGTACCCTAGCACATCAGAAAAAAAATTCAAAAAGAAAAGCATAAAGAAAAAAGTAAAAGTCACCTAAGATAACTGTCATCATCATTACTGTATTGACATAATCCTTTCACACACTGATTCATATTGATGCTCACCTGAGGATATTTCCCATTGATTTTTAGAGAAAGGGGGAGAGAAAAAGAGAGAGACAAAAGAAATATCAATGTTAGATGGAACAAGGTGGAAAGCCTAGGCGACGGGGTCACACTTACGTGTTCCTATGGAAACTATTTGTTTTATATGGATTTTTACTCATTTCTCAAACATGCTACTGCAGAGCGCCCCTCAGCTGCCAGGCAAGCATTTGTAGCTTGTGTTGGCAGGACCAGCCGAGGCTGAGTGCTGTGACCTGTTTTACCAATAAAGTTCCTTGGAAATGAAAAAGAAAAAAAGAAAAGAAAAATGAAATATCAATGTGAGAGAGACACATCGATTGGTTGCCTCCTACACATGCCCTGACCAGAATCAATCCTGGGACTCTTTAGTCTGCACGCCAGTGCTCTATCCAAACCAGCTAGGGCTGTGTAGTCATCCTTTTTTTTACCCCCCATTTCAATAAATCTTTATTCAGATTATTATAATAATAATAATTCCTCCCCCCCCCCCCCCCGTGGCTCCCCTCCACCTGGATGGGGTTCCCATCCCACCCTCTGCCCTTACTCCTCCCACTGTCTTCATCCGTAGGTGTATGATTTTTGTCCAGTCTCTTCCTACACTCCCCACACCTCTTTTCCCCCAAGGATTGTCAGTCCACTACCTTTCTATGCCCCTGATTCTATTATATTCACCAATTCATTCTGTTCATCAGATTTTTTATTCACTTAATTTTTAAATTCACTTGTTGATTGATAATGTATTTATTGTTCATAATTTTTTAAAATATATATTTTATTAATTTTTTTACAAAGAGAAAGGGAGAGAGAGAGAGAGTGTCAGAAACATCGATGAGAGAGAAACATCCATCACCTGCCTCCTGCACATCTCCCACTGGGGATGTGCCCACAACCAAGGCACATGCCCTTGAACGGAATCTAACCTGAAACCCCTCAGTCCGCAGGCTGATGTTCTATCCACTGAGCCAAACCAGTTTTGGCTCTTGTTCATTATTTTTATCTTCACCTTTTTCTTCTTCTTTCTCTTCTTAAAGAATACCTTTCAGCATTTCATATAATACTGGTTTGGTGGTGATGAACTCCTTTAGCTTTTTCTTATCTGTGAAGCTCTTTATCTGATCTTCAATTCTGAATGATAGCTTTGCTGGGTAAAGTAATCTTAGTTGTAGGTTCTTGCTATTCATCACTTTGAATATTTCTTGCCACTCCTATCTGACCTGCGTAGTTTCTGTTGAGAAATCAGCTGACAATTGTATGGGTACTCCCTTGTAGGTAACTAACTGTTTTGCTCTTGCTGCTTTTAATATTCTCTCTTTGACTTTTGCCCTTGGCACTTTAATTATGATGTGTCTTGGTGTGGTCCTCTTTAGATTCCTCTTGTTTGGGGTTCTGTGTGCTTCCAAGACTTGTAAGTCTATTTCTTTCACCAGGTTGGGGCAGTTTTTCTGTCATTATTTCTTCAAATAGGTTTTCAGTATCTTGCTCTCTTTCTTCTGGCACCCCCATAATTCTGATGTTGGTACACTGAAGTTGTCCCAGAGGCTCCTTACACTATCTTCATATTTTCGGATTCTTTTTGCTTTTTGCTTTTCCAGTTGGGTGTGTTTTGCTTCAAATCAAATCTTTGACTTGATTCTTATGATCTTCTAGTCTGCTGTTGGATCACTGTATATTATTTTTAATTTCAGTCAGTGTGTGCTTAATTTCTAGTTGGTCCTTTTTCACATCCTCAAGGGTCTCACTAAATTTATCGGCCTTTTCTAGAAAATTCTTGAAATACCTTATAACCGTGGTTTTGAACTCTATATCCAGTCATTTGCTTTCCTCCATTTCTTTCATGTGTGACCTGTGTCTGCATTTTGGCTGCTCCCCTAAGTTGATGGCTTTGTGTGCTAGGTGTCCCATAGGGCCCAGTGGCTCAGCCTCTCCAGTTACCTGAGGTGACACTCTTGTGCACCCCTTTGTAGTTAAGCTTTGTTTGTTGTTGGTGTCACTGGGAGTAATTGACCTCCAGGCCAATTGTCTGTGAGGATCAGCTGTGTCTAAGAAGGAGAACTTCTGTGCTAGAGACACCCTTATGAGGCAAGACTTGCTTCATTGGGGCTTTGGTGCCTCCTGAGTGTGTCCCTTATGGATCTGAGGAGTTGTAATCTGGATGGTCCTACTCTGACCCCTGGGAACACTGGCTCCAAGGAGGTGCTAACTTAGCCTCTGCCTGAGGCCACCCAGCAGGAGCTATGGAGAGATCTGCAGATTCCTCTTTTTTGTTTGGGTTTTGGAGGTTCCCAGATGAGGCCCGGCTGTGAAGCAATGCAAGCTGCTGTGGGGCCTTGGGCCTTCTTTTAGATGTTCTGGGTCTCTGACTCAGCTGCAGTTTGACAGGTAAGTTTAGATTGCACAGGGCCAGGACATTCATATGCAAAAGCCTCTGCGCACAGCTTGGATGGGGCAGAGTCTCAGGGCGGAGCAAACAGCAATGGCTTCCTTGTCAGCCCTGCCCTAAGAGGCCCCTGGGGTCTCAGTGTCCCTTGGTAATGGCTGTAAGCACCTCTGAGAGAAAGCCGCCCCAAGCTCCGCCCGCTGCCCGACAGTCCAGTTTCTCCCCGTATGAGTCTGGGTCCCCAGATTCTCACCCAGAACTGGAGTTCCGAGCAGTCGGGAGCTGTGTCTCCCTCCCGATTGAAAAAGCCAGCTGTGTACTCAGTTGCCGGCTCTCTCTGCGTGCACGCCTCCGTACCTCTGCCTTTACTTTTGCATCTTCTCTGAGTCTCAGTGTGCTTTTCTCTTTCCTTCTGGTTATAGAATTTTCACTCAGCCAGCCTTCCTATGGTTCTGGATGATGTCCTTTTTGTCTTTTAGTTGTTTTGAAGTTGTGTGAGGCAGCAGTTCAGGTGTTTACCTATGACACTATCTTGGTTTCTCTCTCTCTCTCTCTCTCTGTCTCTCTCTCTCTCTTTCTCAAATACATTTTTATTGAGAGGAAGGAAGAGGGAGACAGATAGAAATATCCATGACGAGAGAGAATCATGGATTGGCTGCCACCTGCAAGTCCCCCACTTGGGATCAAGTCCACAACCCAAGCATGCACCCTTGACCGGATTCAAACCTGGGACCTTTCAGTTTGAAGGCTGATGCTTTATCCACTGAGCCAAACTGGCTAGGGCTGTGTATTCAAGCTTTTCCAAGTTGTTTCCAATAGGAGAGTTGGTCTGAATAACCTAGATCCATGGTCAGCAAACTGTGGCTCGCAAGCCACATGCAGCTCTTTGCCCCTTGAGTGTGGCTCTTCCACAAAATACCATGGCCTGGGTGAGTCTATTTTGAAGAACTGACCTTAGTAGAAGTTGTAAGTTTAAAAAATTTGGCTCTCTTGCCGAGGCCGGTTTGGCTCAGTGGATAGAGCGTCGGCTTGGGGACTGAAGGGTCCCGGGTTCGATTCCGGTCAGGGGCATGTACCTTGGTTGTGAGCATATCCCCAGTGGGGGGTGTGCAGGAGGCAGCTGATCGATGACTCTCCCTCATCGATGTTTCTGACTCTCTGTCTCTCTCCCTTCCTCTCTGTACAGAATCAATAAAATATATTTTAAAAAAAAATGTGGCTCTCAAAAGAAATTTCAATAGTACTGTTGATATTTGGCTCTGTTGACTAATGAGTTTGCCGATCACTGACCTAGACCATTGCTACTAAAAATCAGGACTGCCCTGGCAAGAGTGTCAGACCGCACATGCAGGAGGCAACCAGTCGATGTGTCTCTCTCATATCATATTTTTCTCTGTCTCCTCCTTCATCCCTCCCTTCCACTCTCTCTAAAAAGAAATGGAAAAAAATATCCTCTGTTGAGGATTAACAACACCAATAAAATCAGAACTAACTTATTACTTACTATCTGCCTCTCCAGTTTTCAGGTGAGGTTTCTGGAATGTTGCTTATGTTGCTTTCTAAGGTTCTGTGCTTGTAAACACTGGGCTAGCACAGGTTTTTTGGGTTGTCTCACTTTGGGATTCCGGTGGCCTGGGACCTGAGGTGTTTTTAGGTCTGAGGTTTCAGGGGTCCAAGCCCCTGTGCTCTGTGGTCACCAGGAGCTTCTGGAGGACTTGGTGAGGGGGTCTGCGTGGAGACCAGGGCAGTGCCAGGCCCTCCACGCTAGCAGACAGTGGCATCTGGGTCTCTCCCCAGACATGGCCTTTGAGGGCATCCTGTCTCTCACCGGCCCTGTGGCTGCCTTCTCATCCTTGGCCACCAGCCCCAGGTCAGGCCCCAGCAGGTGCGAGAGAGAAGGAGGTCAGGTGGACCCATGTTGGAAAGAAAAGGCTCGGGACTCATCGCTGCCCTGCTTCCCTCCTCAGGATCCTCATCATCTGGGCCATCAGCAGCTGGTTCCGCCGAGGGCAGGCCCCTCAGGACCAAGTGGGCCCCGGAGGAGCCCCGCGCGTCGCCAGCCGCAACCTGTTCCCCAAAGACACTTTAATGGTAACTGCCGGCTGGGAAGCCAGACGAGGGAGATGAGCGTGCCAGGGAGGGTGTGGGAGTGGCATGGCAGTGACCTGGCTCCTGGTTACTCTCAGGGCTGTGAATGGGTCCAGAGCTGAGGAAGTCTGGTTCTGTCCATAAACCTGTCACTTAAGTGACACTAGCAAGGGAAAAGTAAATTCTTTCTTTTTTTTTTTTTTTTAAATATGTTTTATTGATTTTCTACAGAGAGGAAGGGAGAGGGATAGAGAGCTAGAAACGTCAGTGAGAGAGAAACATCGACCAGCTGCCTCCTGTAACACCCCCTACTGGGGATGTGCCCGCAACCAATGTACATGCCCTTGCCTGGAATCAAACCTGGGACCCTTCAGTCCACAGACGGACACTCTATCCACCGAGCCAAACCAGTTTTGGCGGGAAAAGTAAATTCTTTTGGTTTTTGGGGGTTCTATCTCTGGGGAAGAGGAACATCCAATGAGTCACTCAATTGTTTAAAAACTATCTTAGCTGAGTCCTTAATGTATTTTGTTTCAATATGTTCAGGCTTTAAAAGTTGCAAGGAGGGAGGTGGTCAATTGGGGGAAAAAGGAGACATATATAAAATGTTTAGACAGTTAAAAAAAAAAGTTGCAAAGGAAGCCTTAGCCGGCTTGGCTCAGTGGATAGAGTGTCAGCCTGCAGATTGAAGGGTCCTGGGTTTGATTCTGGTCAAGGGCATGTGCCTCAGTTGTAGGCTTGATCCCCGACCCCGGTCAGAGCCATGCGGGAGGCAGCCAGTTGATGTGTCTCTCTCACATCGACGTCTTCAGTTTCCCAGAATTCTGGTCAGCAGGGTGACCTCTGCTCAGCTGCTCGGTCTGTGGGCCTTCAAGGCTCTGGACAAAGTCAGCCACGGGGACTTGAGAAGAGAGGGAGTCATGGAGGCATGGCGTCCCTGTGTTCTCGGTAGTGGCTGATGTTCCTGCAGATCTTGACCATGCTTCATCCACAAGCCTGCAGCGCTCTGACTAGGAGGGCCATAAGAGGCTGCGAAAGGAGAAGGTAATTAATTCAAGGAGGTCTTGATCCTTTCTAACCCCAAATTCTAATTGCTAGGCTGGCCATTCTCTCTTTTTTTAAATATATTTTTATTGATTTCAGAGAGGAAGGGAGAGGGAGAGAGAGGAAGAAATATCAATCAATTGGCTGCCTTCTGCACACCCCACACTGGGGATTGAGCTCGCAACCTGGGCATGTGCCCTGACCGGGAATGGAACCTTGACCTCCTGGTTCATAGGTCAGCGCTCAGCCACAGCTGTGCCAGCCGGGTGAAGCTGGCCATTCTTTAAATTTTTTTTTTTTGCTCATAGACATCACAGACTCAGACCGGGACAGATGTGGTGGGGTATGAGAAAAGAGAGAATTTATTCTACTACAGTAGTTGTTACTCTTCGTTCCACTGATTCCCCTTTTTCTTCACCCAACGAAGTCATTCATATTAGTGGGCTGACCACTCCCAGTTCTTCATCTGCTCTTTACCCGTCACCCTCAGAGGCTCTGAACGAGGAACCCTAAGCTCCCACTTCTCCTCCCGCAGAACCTGCACGTGTACATCTCAGAGCACGAGCACTTTACAGACTTCAACGTCACGTCAGCCCTCTTCTGGGAGCAGCAGGACCTTGTGTACGGCGACTGGACCAGCGGCGAGAACTCAGACGGCTGCTACGAGCACTTTGCTGAGCTCGACATTCCACAGGTGGGGACGGCGCCTGAGGTCTGGCCCCAGGCTGCGCACCGTGCATGGAAGGGCCTTTCCTGAACCAACTCCCAGTCCCGCGATCTGGAGGTTAGGCTCCAAGCCTGGCTGGCCCCTCAGTTCACAGTCTTCGTGGCCACACTCAGGTCCCTGAAGTCTCTGTGCCATGGCCTCCACACATCTCCATGTGGATGGAGTTGGAATTGGCCCAGGATCACGTATTTCTGTGGTTTTAATCGGTGAAAGATTAGCAATTGTCCTTGGGGGTGTCTAGTCATCACTAGTTTGTCAGGCAGCCCAGTCCTATATAATAAAAGGATAATTTGCAAATCGACCAAACAGCTGCACGACCTGTCTTTCTGATGTGCACTGACCACCAGGGAGCAGATGCTCAACACAGGAGCTGCCCCCTGGTGGTCAGTGAGCCCCATAGCAGGAGTGCTGCTCAGCCAGAAGCTGGGCTGGCAGGCCTGCTCCCGCGTGGCAGCGCTGAGGATGTCAGACTGAGTTATGCCCGCTCCCTGCATGGACTCCCTGAGGTCTCCCAGGCTGCAGGCCGAGGAACACCCCTCACCCCGCCCACCCACACACACAGTGCACAAACACGTGCACTGGGCCTCTAGTTTAAAAATAACAGCTAACATTGGGCAAGCACTTACTCTGTGCAGGGCACCAAGGTAGGCCAACTAGTGCAAACCTCCCAGTAACCATACAAAGTGGGAACTCTTCTCTCCAGTGATGAGGACATTGAGGTACAGAGAGCTTAAGTGACCACCTAAGGTCACAGAGCTAATGAGATATTGGAACTCAGGCTCTCTGGCTCTGGATACTGGCAGCCCCGTGTTCAAATCCTGCCTCCCCTAAGACACCCTTCCTGACTCAGGCTCTGGCGGCTCCCTCTCGGCTCTCCCACCCAAGCCCTGCCCACGGGGGATTGTCACTCCCTGGACACGGGTCTCTCCCATCCTGGTCTGTGAGCCTATGAGGGTAAGGCTGGCACTATCTTGTAACCACTGTGCCCCAGCTCTCTTCAGCCCGGGGCTGGTGCAGAATGTTGAACAATCAGTGAATTCGCTGCATTAATGACGTCGACATCTCCTTGGGACTGCACACTCATTCATTTCTCTTCAGCAGGTCTCCTTGGCCTCCTGGGGGGAAGGGGACATGTCTGCTCTGTCTCTGTCTTGGTCTGTGGGGGTGGCTGGACACAGGGTGTGGACACAGTCCTTCTGAGGCCGATAGGCTAACCTGTGCTGAGGGATGGCTTCCATCAGACACTTGGCCAGGATCCAGTCCCCTCCCTCCCTGAGGGGCAGCAAGCCGGGCAGCAAAAGCCACCCCAAGGACTTGGATCTGGCCCTCCTTTCCATTTGAGGTGGGAGGGTATCTCAGTTGCATCTGATTTTAATTTATGGCGCTAAGTGATGACACGGAGAGGCCAGTGCCATTGAAAGAAGAATTAATTACGTTTCCGAGGCAGGCGTCCCCATGTAACACAGGGCCACATGGGGAAGCACCGAGTTTGTGCAGGAGCAGAAGGAGCAAGAGGTGAAGCCTAGGCCAGAGTCTCTACGGGGTTTCCTCAGGAGAGACTAGGCAGGGTAGGGAAACAGCTTAGGAGGGCGTGGGTGGGGCTGTGGATTTGGGATTGGCTGGTTTGCATATAAAAGGCCTGCCCCTGGGCAGGTGGAATTAGTCCTGTGGGGCAGTCTACCCAGCTAGCTACATTCTCCAAGATGTTAAACAGTATAAAAAACAAAGAAGCAGGTTGAGCACAGGGTGGACTTCAAAGTGAAGAGAGGAGGGTGCTTGTGGCCAACTGAGGCCAGCTCTGCCGTCAGTTGGCCACCCCTTTTCAGCGTTCTCCCCTCTAAGTGGTGGGAGTGAGCATAATGCCCGCCTGGAGAGCTGGGAGAAAGGTACGGGCAGCCGAGACCGGTTTGGCTCAGTGGATAGAGCGTCGGCCTGCGGACTGAAGGGTCCCAGGTTCGATTCCTGTCAAGGGCATGTACCTGGGTTGCGGGCACATCCCCAGTAGGGCGTGTGCAAGAGGCAGCTGGTTGATGTTTCTCATCGATGTTTCTAGCTCTCTCTCTCTCCCTTCCTCTCTGTAAAAAATCAATAAAATATATTAAAAAAAAAGAAAAAAGAAAAAGAAAGGTACGGGCAGAGCCTCAGAGAAGCCCACAGACCGGGTTCAGATCCATTCACTGCACATTAGTAAGCTCTCTGCGTGAGCCCTCGTGGGCTCCTCTGGAAAGTGGGTGTGATGACACTGCGCCAGGTCTGTGAGTGGCAGGAATGTGAGCCCAGTGGATTAGGCAGTTACCAGTGGAGTACCCAGAGCAGGGTCCGGTGCTCCCCCTCCTCCCCCCACCCCAGGTTGTACTGTTGAATGAATTAAGGTCATTTGTTGAGCTCCTACTTGTGCCTGAGTGACGTGCTAGGTGCTCTGGGATAATCCCAACTGCACTGCTGCGCCCTCAGCTCTCATGCACCCTGCGGTGGGCATAGAGGCTCAGCGCGGGGAAGTGCTAGAACCGGGACTTGAACCCGAGCCTCTCTGGCTCCAGTGTTTTGCTCTTAACCATTTAGCCACACTGCTTGCCTGGCCGGAGAACTGGGGGGTGGGAATCTGCTGGGGGCATATCGTGAGGGGCTTCGGCATTTTCCTTCTCTCTGTTGCCCCGCCTTGCAGAGCGTTCAGCAGAATGGCTCCATCTACATCCACGTCTACTTCACCAAGAGCGGCTTCCACCCAGACCCCCGGCAGAAGGCCCTGTACCGCCGGCTCGCCACAGTCCACACGTCTCGGAGTAAGTCAGTCTCTGCAGCTCGGTCCATAGTCAAGGCAGCTGGCAGCCTGGGTGCCCCAAGCCGGTGAAGGACCCCGAATCCCAGGTCCACAAGACTGGCAGGAACCCTGCGCCAGGGAGCCTGGGATTGGAGGCCCATCCTTTGTGCCTCTGTAGACACCCCTCAGGCAGACGTGAGAGCATGGGCTTAGAATGAGCAGCTGGGTCTCGCTGTTGTGTTCAGTGGTTGAGCATTGACCTATGAACCAGGAAGTCATGGTTCGATTCCAGGTTAGGGCACATGCCCGGGTTGTGGGCTCGATCCTCAGTAGGGGGCGTGCTGGAAACAGCCCATCGATAATTATCTCTCCTCATTGATGTTTTTCTCTCTCCCTCTCCCAGTCTCTCTGAAATCAATAAAAACATATTTTTAATAAATATATACTTTTTTTTTTAAGTGAGAAAGAAAGAACAGGTGCACAAGGGCATTTCTGAAGGGGAGGTGATGGGCCAGCTCCTGGGTAGCGCCAGGCTTGGTAGAAGTAGAGACTTAAGCACAGTCTGTGCATGGACAGTGGGTTGATTAATGAGCACAGGGAGACGGGAGGTCCTTTGAAATTTGTTTCACTCAGTGTGACCTCTAACCGCATCTGTCAGCCCAGTCTGCGTGAATGGGCACTGCACACGTGTGTCACCGTTGAGATGCCATGTGGGAGGGTGCCTGTGTCCCAGGTGACCTGTTC